CACGGCCTGGGCCTGGCGCGGGGGGTGGGCACCGGGGCCCGGTCGGACATGGGCAAGAAGCACAAGAAGCACAAGTCGGACAAACACCTCTACGAAGGTGAGGAGTGGGCTGGGGTCGGGGGGCTCGTAGCGAGCCCGTGGCGGCTCGGTGGGCTTTTCGTTATTTCGCGATGACCCTAGAGCGCCCGAGGCGGACCGCCCCTCCCACGGCAGGCCCCGACCCCCCCAGAGGGCGCGGTCCCCCGAAGCCGCGCAGACCCCAGGCGGGGCGGCATTCGAACCTGCCCGGGTGGGTCTCTGCTGGGGCGGTGTGAGAAGGCCCCGAGAAGCCCGGGAGCGTTGGGGGCGGCCGGCGCCGCCGCACCCCTTGGCGAGGGTCGTCATTCAACAGGTGCTTCGTGGGGTGCCCACTGCGCGCCCAAAGCCACCCCGGCCTTGCTGCACCTTCGCGATCTGATCGGCGGCCACTGCATTGTTGGTACTGCCCGGCGAGCCCCTCCTCTTATCGAGGCGCTTTCCTTTTGTTTAAGAATATGTAGAGAAGCCCTTGAAGCTGGTCCTCAAAGTGGGAGGGAACGAAGTCACCGAGCTCTCCACGGGCAGCTCGGGACATGACTCCAGCCTCTTCGAAGACAAAAACGATCATGACAAGCACAAGGACAGAAAGCGGAAAAAGAGAAAGAAAGGAGAGAAGCAGGTTCCAGGGGAAGAGAAGGGGAGAAAACGGAGAAGAGTAAAGGTAAATGTGGTTGAATCACTTCAGCGTTGCTCATGGCACCATTTTCTAAATGGTCCCGCCTCCAGCTGCCAGCCTAACTTTTCTCTGTGTCTAATGAGCCTCTGAAGTGCCTGTAAAATCTGGCTTGTTTTGGAGAGGAGTAGGGCAGAATAGAAATGTGAATCATCTATGAGTTTCAGCAAATCTTTAATTATACTTTAAGGATTTGTACTCACACATCAGATAGGACAGCAGCTGAGTCCTGATTTTCAGGAGCTGCTTCAAAGAATGCTTTTTCCATCTAGGAAGGGTAAAAGGTCATGCTCAAGAAAGCCTCAGTGTTTGAGGTTTTTCAAAAGATCATTTGAAAAGTGAATGGGATTTATTGGGGCTCAGATTTTGTTCCGAAGTAGGTAATATAATGCCACATCTATAGTGAGCAACTTTCGTCTTCTCAAACAAAGTTTGAGTCTGTTGAGAAATTTTGATCAGAGATCTGTAATGGATATAACACCATTTGCATTTAGTAAAAAAGAATAACTAGCTATCTTCTTGCTTTGCAAGCTGGGCAAAATAATAATAATAATTAACTTTCCTTCCAAGGATGATTATATACATACCTGGAATTATCCCAGATTTCTGCACTTCCCAAATTTAACCTTTTATTAAGTGGCATATTAAATCATTTCCTGTATTTTGAAGGTAGAGTTTTATAATTTTTCTTATGTTTAAATATACAACAGAAGCTCTTTTCCATATGATTAAACACATTGATAAGTCACTAAGTCTTATAGACTTTCTCTTTAGAAGTTCTTACGTTTATTCCTTCCTTTCTGCGCCAGTTTTGAGTACCTTTGCCTAAACTTTCCTAAGTTATAAAAGCCACGATTTTTTATGCATATGATTTTATTTTTATAATTCAAGTGGTACATTAGTGGAAAAGTGAAAGAAAGAAAGTTTTTCAGTCCCTCATATGGTCTTCCTCTCCAGAGGTACCAGTTGTTGTTGTTTTTTTTAATTAATTTTTATTAATAGTAAAGAGATTCATGAACATAGTTTTGAAGTCAAGAGT